ACATGTCGGCTCTCCCGAACCAGCATTCCTTCGTGAAAGGATCGTATCAATTGCGTTGAGGGACCAGCTTATCAATTCCATAATTTAGGATTCGAGAAGCTTCACCAGCAGAAGGAAAAATAGAGACGAGACGGGAGAGGCACACAGACACAGCAGAGAGAGGAAAAATGCGACCGCCTCCAGCGAGAGTCAGAGAGAATGAAGTTCACGGCTGCTACTACTGCTTCCAACATGTGCAGGTCAGGTGCCATTGATTTTGATGCAAGTGCTTGATGATGAAGCATACAGTGAGTGGCTACGATCTTTGGATTTACGGATTGAATTCAGGTGACAACCCCACTCTAGTGCCCAGTCATTACTGCTGCACCGACAGTGCAAAGAGACACACACTTTTCCCAGCTCAGATGTTCTTCTATCATGAAAGTGTCCAACATTTTGAAAATTTCCTCATCTGTAACTCTTCACTCAAGTCCTTTGGAAAATAAAATATCTTCCAAAATTTGACCATCCCATGAATATTGAATGTACACTAACAACTGAACTGCACTGTTAGCGTTTACATCAAGCTGAAGCACGAACTGCACGAGTATGAGCGCAAACTTTCAGTCAGCTGAGATTTCACATCAAAAGAGAGGTCCTTGATTCGTCTGCCTACTGTATCTTTGGACAGTGGTATGGATTTAATCTTGTTTGCCTTGTCCTCCCTGACCATCACTCTGCACATATCCACTGTTGCTGTAAGTATTAATTCCTCCCCAATTGTGTGGAGCTTTTTACATTTGGCTATTCGCAGGGCTGCAAGATAAGATGCTTGATGCGCTTTCTCAGGAATTGTTGTTATGTTAGTCAGTCGTACCTTTTGTTTTACATGTTCTTCTTTCTTTCTCTTGAAAAAATCCTTACTTTTATTTGCATGCTCAGGATGAATTGTTGTGAGATTATATGGTGTCAGCGCTTCAATGGATAAAATCTTCAAGCACAACGTGAAGTGGCGTGTGGCCAAGTATCGTGACCCATACTTGGAATTTGTGCTCTGCATTTAACCCATCCAAGTGGACACACACACCCGGAACAGTGGGCAGCCTTTTTTTTTGCTGCGGTTCCCAGGGAGCAGTTGGGGGATCGGTGCCTTGCTCAAGGGTCTCATCTCAGTCGTGGTATTGAGGGTGGAAAAGAGCACTGGTCATTCACTCCCCACACCTACAATCCCTGCCAGACCTGGGACTCAAACCCGCAACCCTCGGGTTACGAGTCCAACTCTCTAACCATTAGGTTACGACTGCCCCCAAAAAAAATGTGCACTGTGGTCTGCCATCACTATATTCCATGAAGCCATATTTTACATACTAGTTGTCAAATTTTCACAATTGAATTTTTTTCACACTAGGCTCTTCTGTATTAACTTTCTCAGCTAAGAGACTACGTCCTCTATCTAAAAAACATATCCATTTTAAATAGTCTTAGGTCAGTGTGTGGCTAACAGTGCTGTACACTAGGATGTCAATGGATGTCTCTGTTTGGTGAGGTTTCAGGTTAGCATGCTGTGTATAATTGATTTAATTTATTAATATTTTTCATTTTATGTACAGCATACTGTAGTTCAATGGTTTACAATCCTGACTTACATACAGGCAAAATAAATATTAAAAAAAATAATGTTCTAGAATTTGTACACGGCCCCCAGCTTGAGAACCACTGCTCTAGAATGTAGCTCCACTTAAAAGAAAATTAATTAGAGAGAAAAAAATAGCACCATGGTATAATGATTACATACACACCTTAAAACAGACCACTCGAAAATTAGAATGTAAATGGTGTCAAACTAAATTGATAGAAAATATCAGGCAAAAAACTCAGACTATTAATTTAATGCCAAGCAATCTGATTACTAACCATGTAGATAACAATATAACCATATCAGATCAGTGATTAGAATGTTTTACTCCACTCAAGAGACAGAAATCACTAATTTCCTTATCAAAATCATCAACTTGTGTACAAAATCCCTTACCTACACATTTCTTCAAACAGATACTGCCAGAAGTAATCAAACCTTTTCTAAAAATAGAATTCCCTTACCAGTGTCCAGAACCTGGTGTGTGAGGGTGCGGAGGAAGACTCCGGTCAGCTGTCCAACTATAGGCCAATATTAAACCTTCCTTTTATCTTCAGGAACTTTAAAAACATGCCCGGATGTTCCAGTAGGTGCATAAACAAGCTCCAGTTAGTCCAGACAACTTCTGGTCCTTTATGACTTCGATCAAAAGGTGCAGGTTGTTTGGTACATCGAATAGTGAAAGCTACAGAGCTTTCAGGGGCAGAGCTTTCTCTTACAAAGCCACACAGTTATGGAACAGCCTTCCAATTAGTGTTCGGGACTCACACACAGTCTCAGTGTTTTAGTCTGGGCTGAAACATATTTGATTAGTCAGGTTCTTGTTAATAGTTTTGTCTAGGTAAAGAAGCAGAGCTGGAGGGCTCACAGTCATATAGTGTTTTGATGAATTGGGATGTTTGGATACAGTTGCTCCCCCACGTTCAAACGTTCACTCAGGTTTGTTGACGGTGGAGTGACAGGGCACTTTATGTCCCTGTACTTTATAAAGCATTAATGTACACTGAATACAAATGCCATTTTGTCCTTACAGTCTGTATTATCTTCTATTTATTATTCCTACAGTATGACAAGAAACTTGCATTGTTTTTCAACTTTCCTTTGCTGGTAAATAGGTAAATTGTGATGTGGTTCATGCAATAGTGCCTCCTAGAGGACACACAATGTCCTGACGTCCACGCAGAGACGCCCTTATAGAAGTATAAATCAGCCTTAGTTAGTTCGTGGGAGGACCGATCTCCTTCTCTGTGTTGCAGTGCAAACATGCAAATACGTGTTAACACAGAAGTATAAATCTGCCTTAACTTGAAAATTCACCAAGCTTATGCTAATCATCAAAGCACCCAGTGCATCAAATTTAATAAATTACTTTGTTTGCTTATTTATTTGTTTGTTTGTATTGAATGTTATGCATAATGTATTCTGTAGTCAATTTCATCTAAATATCTTAAAACTCAACATCTAAAGCCTGCTTTTGTAATGTTATGATTGTTGTAAAGTGTGTAGCTAAGAATAAATATCAAAATTGTATTCAATTCAATTAAATTTTATTAGTATAGCACTTTTAACAATGGACATTGTCACAAAGCAGCTTTACAGAAATAAATGGATTAAAAAAATATATTGTAAATATGTGAATTTATCCCTAATGAGCAAGCCAGAGGCAACGGTGGCAAGGAAAAACTCCCTGAGACAATATGAGGAAGAAACCGTGAGAGGAACCAGGCTCAAAAGGGAACCCATCCTCATCTGGGTGCAAAGGATAGTGCAATTATCAATAAATATCTTATATTATTGTGTACTATATGGACAAATAGTGCAAATGTGCAACCAGTAAATTCATCACAGTTTTTGCACGAAGTCCAGTTGGTTAAAATCTATCCACTGTCCACTGATGTTGTCCTGAGTATGAAGCCACCACAGCAATCGCAGTCCCAAACCATTACAGTACAGCTCCCCATTTGTAATCCCCAAGCCATTTCCACAGCCCCCAGGTGGCACTATCCCCAGCAATCCAAACAGTTCTTCATGCCGTCCATATGGGGCCACCCCTAGCATCAGTGAGTGAACACAAACGATGAGAACTCCAACCAGAAGTAGGGCATCAGGATGGGTCAGGCAGGTCCAGGAAGCAGAAGGGGTCAGGATCACTGGCATCTCAGAAGTAGCATGTGTAGACAGAGAGTGAAAGAGAGAGAGATTGTTAGGTAAGCTTTTGTCCTCTAATGGTTAAGGAAAATGTACTTTGAGTGCAGAGTGCAAGCAGGGACTCTGGCAAAACTAGCTATGACACCATAACTAAAAGGAAGAGCCAGAAGGTAACACAGACATGAGGGCACCCTGGGACATAAGGCAGTCAGCCACTCCACCGTCGACAACCCTGAGTGAACGCATGAGAGTGGGGGGACGACAGCATCCAAACATCCCAGTTCACCACAACACTCCATCCCCGTGAACCCTCCAGACCTGCTCCTTAACCTAAGAAAAAACTATTCACAAAAGGCTTGACTAAACAAATATGTTTTCAGCCGAGACTTAAACACTGGGACTGTGTCTCAGCCCCAAACACTAACTGGAAGGCTGTTCCATAACTGTGGGACTTTGTAAGAGAAAGCTCTACCCCCAGCTGTAGCCCTCTCTATTCGAGGTACTAACAAATAGCCTGCACCTTTTGATCTAAGTAGGCGTGGTGGTTCATAAAAGACCAAAAGTTCGCTCAGGTACTGTTGCGCGAGACCATTTAGTGCTTTATAGGTCAATAGTAGTATTTTATAATCAATACGAAATTTGATTGGGAGCCAATGCAGTGTGAATAAGATAGGGGTGATGTGGTCATATCTTCTGGTTCTAGTAAGGACTCTCGCTGCTGCATTCTGGACTAACTGGAGCTTGTTTATGCATCTCCTGGAACATTCAGACAGTAAGGCATTACAATAATCGAACCTAGAGGTAACAAAAGCATGAACAAATTTTTCTGCATCGTGTAGTGACAATATATTTCTTATTTTAGCAATATTTCTGAGATGAAAGAAAGAGATCCTAGTGATATTATCTACATGAGCTTCAAATGAAAGACTAGAGTTGATAATCACACCAAGGTCTTTTACTGCTGCACATGGTGAAACAGAAAGGTCATCCAGATTTTTTATGTAATCAGAAAGCTTACTTCTAGCTGCATGTGGTCTTAGTACAAGTACTTCTGTCTTGTCAGAATTAAGTAAGAGAAAGTTAATAAGCATCCAGTTTTTAATGTCTTTAACACATTCCTCAACTTTATTAAGCTGATGTCTGTCATCTGGCTGTGCTGAAATGCACAACTGTGTGTCATCAGCGTAACAGTGGAAGCTAATACCATGTTTACGAATAATTTGGCCCAGAGGTAGCATATATAAAGAAAAGAGCAGTGGGCCTAAAACATAGTCTTGTGGGACACCAAACTTTACCTTAGTATGCAAAGAGAAGTCACCATTTATGTCTACAAACTGATAACGATCAGTCAAATAAGACATGAGCCAGGAAAGGGCCGTTCCCTTAATGCCTACTACATTTTACAAAATTGTAGCATTGTTTTAATGATGTTTGTGTATTAATGATGTTTCAATACATTTTAAGATATGAGTATCATTTTTAAATTTAATCTTCATTCGACATTTCATTACTTACATTCAGTTTAAGATAGATTTGGAACATCTTATAGATTTAATCTTTCTCTTTTTTCTCTCTTTTAAAAAAACACCCAGCCATGCTCTTATGGGGGAAACAGGCATAATCACCAGTTCAAAGACTTTTAAGGATGTTGAAAACAGCCAACACATTTTTCTCGACACAGGCATACAGCAGAAGAGCATAGCTCCCACATGTCAATCAACTGTGTGGAGTGCAAGAGACTGTATACTGCCATCGATATCTTCTTTAATTCAATCTTCCACATAAAAATGGACAGTCAATTTTCCCTACTCACCCAATCGCATTAACATTCTCTTAACCTCAAACATTAATATGTTAACACATACACGGAAGTCTGCTCTGAAATGGAATACGCATAGATTCCAGATGCCATGCTGCACATGTAAACACCTTTCAGAGACAGAATGTCTATGTCCATGGCTATTTAGATTAATCATATCTTGTACAAGACAGGTTGCATATATTTCTAATATGACATACAGTATGTTAACATATTTTCCATTTCCAAATGCTGTGATCCATTTGTGAATCCGTTTTGCACAGGAATCTGCAAGTTGTCTGGATAATTGATGTATATTTGGCAGATTTAAATGTGTCATTTGCTTCTAAGTCATGATGTTGTCTTTCAGTTTACAGCCTAGGGTCCAAAAGTCTGCCATTTTCTGAGTATGCAGTTCTTGGTAGGCTATATTTCTTTCAGAAATGTATTAAGTAAAAAACTAACTTGGAATAAAGTTTTCAATTCTGACCAATAAAAAGCAGAGCAAATTTAATCTTCATATGTCAAATGGTTGCAGTCTTAGCAAACACTGCCTCCAGTGGCTAGTCCTTTCCAATGCACATAGAACAATAAAGAAACAATACTTGAACATCCTTATGAAGTTTTGTGACGATAGCTTCATACTGGTTTTGAGAAATGTCTGCTGAAAGCTGATTGGCTTAAGGTGGCCATGTTTTTGAAGTAATTCAGTGGTGAATTAAA